GCAAGGAGGAGGAAGGACAGAAAAAACATAATACAGCAGGTTCTCTTTCATTAGAGTGTTGAGTGGCCTCTCTTCCTGTAATGAACCTCGTTATCATTAATCACGTCTGAGAGCAGAGAGCAGCACCCAGGGCTTCACAGAGCAAAACTACAGGCTCAGAGTGTAGTCCAAGGGGCTGTAGGGGGTAGTGCAGGGGCCTCAGAGGGCAGGGCTTAGGGACCTGGGAATAAGGATAGTAGATCTAGGGGACCGTGTTAGCAGCTTTCAGGCCTGTGTTCAGGCAGTGCTGCTGAAGTTAAATGTATCTTTCTACTGAATTGACTGACTTATTTGAATGTTTGTTTTTTTCACTCAAACCCCATTTTCCCCATTTCTTTAACAAATAAGAGATGTTGCAGTATGTAAACACTGTTAAAGATTCAAAATGTACCACTCACTCGCCAGTCCATGTGGCTTCAATATAGTAACTTAGCTGCAAAAATGTTGTTTTCAATTTATTGGTTTTATTGATGTCACAACACATTTACATACACTGCCAATCATGTATTTAGACACACCTGATTAAATGGATGTTTTTCATAATCTTAAAGGCATTTTGATCCATCGGCTTATACTTAAATGCTTGTGCACAGAAGTTGACATCAGAGCAAAAACGGTAATTTTAAGAATCTAAAATATAAAATCATTTTGATTTTTTGATGGTCTAAAATGAGTAAAACTGTAAGCTTAAAATAAGGAAATTGCCTATTTAACACTGAAGTTACGAAAAGTGTTTCAACTAAAACTGCTTTTTAAATGAGACACAATTCAGGACAGCCAATCAGAACCAAAATCATTTACATATATCAGCCTCAAAGGCACAGTAACAAAAAGAAGCCTATGAGATTCTAAGGAAAAAAGTAGAGGTTCGAAAGTGTTGATGTAAAACTGTTTTTGACACCTGCGTTAGTTAATCTCAGTGGGAAAAAAATACAATAAAAATGCAGTGCATATAAAAATATACTCAACTCTTTTTGTTAATATTTGCAGTATAGGAGAAAAGTTTGACAGCAGTCAGAATTTTAGAGCAGATTAAAATTCTGACTGCTATCGGCATGTTTGTTACCATCAGCTTCTTTAAAGGACTTACTGTAAATTTACACACAGTTGTTTGCAAAAATCAAATGCCACTGGTTAAATTACTTGTTCTGTTGGGAAAAAATACAGCATAAAATATAAAATGTGCCATAACTTTTGCACAGGCAGCTATTTATGTTTATTTTTTTTTCCCCCAATTTAATATATTCAGCAAATAAGCAGTAATTGTGCATTAAAGTGTGCAGAAGTGTGTTCTCTGTAGGGGATGCATTAACTTATTTTTACTTAAAACATATCATTTGACCAGGGGCACCCAAAATTTTGCATACAATGGTACATCTATGTACAGAGCTCCAGAAATTGCAGCTCCCTATTGGCAGATAAATCTCAATCCACACTGAGTTGTACATCTCGCACCTTGTCAGCAGCAGCTGGAACGTCGTAAATGGATTTAGCAGGTAATGTAGCACTGGTGTCTATAATACCTGCTAAACTGCAAAGTGTCTCTGGGGAACCTATAGCCCCAAGCACCATATAACAGAGAAGGGTACTCAGGCAAGTATTTAAAAATCAGAAAATAAAGACAACTTAAAGCAAACTGCTTTAATGTGATTATTCATTTACTTTGCTCAATTAAAGTGGTGGCTCAGCTAAAAAAAGCACAATTTTCCTATTACTATAAACCCAACTAAGGCATGCTGGGTATCTGAAGTTTACTTGTTTAGTTTTGCACTGGAGCTAAAAGGCTATTGTAGCTAACAAGTAATGAAAGCTTGTACTCACTAATTAGCATCGTTCAAACTGCATGCCTAGATCATCACATACCTCATGCAAACAGTGTCTAGTTGTTAAGCGACCACCAAAAAAACTTGCTGTTGCAGTTCATGACACTGTATGACATGATTATGATAATGTAAAAAGTGTGCTAGAGCTCAAGATTTGTGCATTCATTTTTATAAAGGAGAGTATCTACAGTTATAGTCAAAACTTTGAGCTCTCCTGATTTAATTACATGTTTTGTGGTATTACATATTATTTATTTAATTATTTTTTTCAGAATGATGTTTTAGCCAAAAGTCAAATTTATACATTTTCCCTCTTTCCTCAAACAGTCGATCATGCAAGACCATTTTAATTGTATACAGTCATCTTATTGGTCAAATTACATGTTTTCTACTATATAAGTTATAAGTTAAAAACAAACGTAAAGATGGTACTGTACGATATGTATGTATTTGCTGATTTCAACATAATGGCATAAATGAAACATAAAATATATAAAATATGTCTTAACTTTTGCACAGGCCATATTTGATGTTATGTTACTTTTTCATTAGGTTAAATTCAGCCAATAAACAGTAATTGTGCTTTCTCATGTAATTGTGCTATCTCATGTTCAGGATTATTGTTGCACCACTGTAGAAGGAGGGTAGGCATTGTGCTTTCTCTGTGGGGAACTTATTTTTCCTTAGAAATTCAATAAAACTGTCATTTGATTTGAACAGAGGCACCCAAACATTTGCATACAATTATAAAAGTTATATAAGTTGCCTTGGGTGATCAGTTACATCTGAGAAAATGTACCTATATTATAATTTTGTCTCAAATGATGAGACCAAAAGTAATACCAAAAAAGTGACTTAGTAAGCGGTCAGCCTGATGATGGATAGTAAAGGTTTTTCCTTCCTTTCAGGTAGCAGAGAGGAGAGATCCATAAAGGCAATAATATTCAGGCCATTACAGGGCGCTAATGAGGCCTGAAATGTCTGAGAGAGTTTGATGTAGAGCAGAAGGTCGTGATGAGTGACCTCGGAGCTGCTGATTGAATTATACTACCACAGGGTCAATATTGCACGCAATGTGTTTTTGATACTTTCCTGGCTCGGTTGTTATATCACTGTCCAGCAGATGAAAGACAGTCCTATCAGTGCACGTTCCCCAGCGTTAACCTTTCACCTTATCTTAAGCAATATTGATGATGGCTGCTGAAGGCTGTCAGAACCATGACACTACCATAGCTTTTGGGCCATCATTGACATAAGTCAAAATAATGTTCAAGATAAAGTTCAACTTTTGTTCATAGCGGACTGATGGAAGACAGGAATACAGTAGGACCTGCGTGTAGGTGAAGAACAGTGAAGAAGCAGAATATTGAACTGTCAGGAGTTTTTTAAATGGGCAGGGAGGAGGAGTGCTCATGCGTCTATATTGTAAATCTCTGTCATCCACTTTTATTGCAAACATTCTATTGATTGGAATGATGGTTGAATTTAAACCCAGGGTGATCCATATTTCATTTGCTCTCTGATTGAAAGCCATTATAAAATAATTTAGCCTGCATGAAGCATCATTGATTTTCATCCTCCACACTGTATCTGCTTGTAGGTACTGAGGAGTGCCCGTTCTGCATGAATTAATTGTTAAAAGTGTTTAAAGAACTGTATCTGGCAAGACATTATGACTTTCTTTACAACAATGTTTATTAGGCTCTGATTTCCTGGTTCGGAATGGACATTGATTGCGAAAGATTTTTAACTTGTTTTTAATTAGTTAAGATGTCAAACAATTTCTCGTGTGGGTGTTATCTGTTGTAAAGCAATCTTGGGTTTGTGAAAGGCACTGTATCAATAAAACATTGTTAGCAAATAATCTTTATTTTTAAAAGTATTTTTTTCACATGGATATCTGTTGTGTTATGCCATATTTCATAGCACATCTTTGCGTTCCTCAGCCCAATCCCTTTTACAGAATTCATGATTTTGTATTCTTTTTGTGTTTCATTCACCAGTATTCTCTCAATACAGTACCAAGCATGCATTACATAAATACATTATACAACCATTGGGAATCTCTCCTGTAAAGAAATGCACTGATGTAGAGACTTCTTAGCAGTAATGTTGGCTATCTGGATTCCTTCTATGTTAGACAGCGAGCGAAAAAAAAATTAATCAAACATTCCACCCTCAAATATTCTCCCTAAAGCACTAGTAGTTTTTCAAAAGTTTCTCCCACCTTCAAGATACATCAACTAAAGGGGGTTTTCATAGTCTTTAAACTGTAAATATCACTTTCAGGATTATTGTTGCACCACTGTAGGAGGCAAGTAGGCATATCTACAGCAAGCATGGCAATAATTCAATTTCTTGTTTTCTTTCATCATTTTTTGCCTGTTTCTAAAACATGAGTTTTGATTCTGTGACCGTGCACTAGTAGGTGATATGTTTCACCTTCTCTTCCACTTATCATTGAGCTAAACACTCAGCTAGCTCAGAGACACCCCCTCCCCGAAACTGTGTTGCACTCCGAAATATGTTATAGTGCAGAAGGAAGATGAATTCTGATTGATGCAGGCTTTAAGAATAAATTTAGACAATGCTTAATTTTGAGAGTCCACTGTAGATCTCTTGCTAACTTTGACTTGAACTAGCATTCAACTAAATGCAACTGAGCTTTGAGCTGAATGTAATTCTAGATTACAGTAAATCTAATCATTAGCCTTACCCTAACCTTAACTTTCACTCAAATTTCAACCTGATTCTAAATCTATCCCTAACTGTAATGTAACACCAGATAGTTTGTGTACAGTGTCAGATTCTGTAAGGAATTTGTATGACTGTAATGTATGACCCATAGTTAAAATTTAATTCAAGTATGTTTTAGAAATGAGGTCATAGGAAAAGTGAGAAAGAAGAAAGTGGGAGGGTGGAAGAGTGTAAAAAAAATTAGTATGTAAGTAAATAAATAAAAGCATACATGAGTGCAACACTGCCTGTATGAAATGCCTATATATGTGTACTATTAAATAATCAATTCTCATGATTTCAGTACACAAATAACCAGTTTCTGCTTGGAGCATCAAATGTGCTGTGTATGCGTACACTTGTTCATTTTATTTATTCAGTCTGCTTGTCTCTCCTCCACAGCACTGAGAGATAACCGGATTGACCTGGTCCGGGCCTCGTGGCAGGAGCTGACCATCAGTATTCGTGATGTCACACTTTCAGATGAAGGCCCGTATACCTGTTCCCTCTTCACCATGCCTGTGAAAACAGCCAAGGCCTACCTGACTGTACTGAGTAAGAATTACACTCTGCACAATTCTAACCATTATGCATATAGAGCACATGTACATGTACCTTACTATTTTAGAAGAACATGCTCTATATTTTGTCCATATTAGCAACTGTGTAACACCGTCCATTGATCTCTGAATTAGCCCTACGTTCCGGTGCCACATAGAGTTCTTTGAGAGGATCTCAAACTGGTCCTCCAGATGGTCCACATTTTTGCTTAATCCCAATTAGACAATCTCACTTAGAGGCAAAGCCAAAATCTGGATTGTTGGGAGGCTCTGAGGATTGGTTTGAGAGCCACTGCCCTAAAGAGACATGTTTGAAAAAGAGATTTACCAACTAGCCAACTTCATTATAGCTAAATCGTAAGAAAACATGACTACACGTATCACATTTTACAGGCTAGCATAGATATTGTAACTGACATCATATCATGGTGGGTACTGGCTAATTGACCAAAGTCCTGCTTTTTACAGCACTAAGTATAGATGTTTGGAGTGAACGGTTGATGGTAGTGATGTTTTTGTTGCTTATTCACAGTAGAGAACATTGATTACCATCAACTACTACTACTCACTAACTTTATAAGTAGTCTATTATAACTAGCACAGCTCAGCTGAGTTCTCACCATCAGGAAAAACAATGGTTAAAGCTAATGCTGTGTTTAGGTGTTGGTGCTAAAAGTGTTTCCATGTGTTTTTGTGGCAGCGTGCAGCCATGCAAGTGTTGCCACGATAATAGCAGAATTTAAGGTGGAGCTTCATTTATTTAAGGTGGAACTTACATTATTGATGGTCAAAAATCTGGGAAGGCCAAGGCCACTCAGGGCCCCTGTGGTGAAGAACCTTCCTATAATGTAAAGTTTCTATACCAATATAAGGGTTGTTCCTAGAACCTTTACACTGTATGGAGGTTGTTAATATATTTAAAAGTATCTTTACACTCACATCTCATTTACAAAAATGGTTCTCCAGAGATCTATTCATTAAAAGTTGGCATCACACAAAGAACCTTTTTTTGGCACCTTTATTTGTAAGAGTGTAGCTAAATATTGTCACAGTCAAAACAAAAGCACACATCTATGTATGGAAACTTTACGAGAGAAGGAAAAAACATTCTTCACCTCTATGCTTGTTAATTTAACAAGATTTTATTCCATGTATTTTGGACCATTTCTATTGGTCACACAATGTAAAGGTCAGCTGGCATTTCCAAAAAAAAATATATATGGCAATGACGATATGTTTGCCAATCCTTAGGCTGAGAAAACCAAGCAGCGACATGTGAAAACCTTTTATTTGAAACCATTTTTATATGCAGCTAAGAATTCTCAGTTTTCACACCTAAGGCCACAGCGATATTACTTTATTGTTACAGAATTTTTGTCCATTTTAATGAGTTCAGGAATCTGTGAAAGGCTTGACAGGAAACCAATATCACCAGCGTGGAATACAGCAAAATTAGGCTTTTTCTTTTTTTGGTGAGTTGATAGATAATTAGATTTTTACCTCATAAAGTGGTGGGGGCGTTACAAATCTAATGTTGCTGGGGATCCGAGTTTAATGAAGCAGATTCGCCCGGTCGCAGGCTATCACTGAAAACCACCTACAAGACAGTTTAATTAGTCTTTCCATCAGCCTTTTTCTTTACTTTTGTCAATCAAAAGTCAAACTAACTCCATTCCGCTGAGTTCTTTTTGCGACATAACTATGTCAACACAGGCAGCCCACAAATATTGCTTAATTCCACATTTCCAAGCTAATTAGGTGCGGAATTACTTAGTCTAATTTTAATTACTTGGCGTATGCCATTAAAATCATTACTGTGTGTGTGTGTGCATGTGTGTGTGCACGCATGTGTGTGTGTGTGTGTGCAGCTCACACAACATTAAAGATTACTCATTGTGAATATGGGTACAATTAATTTACTCAGCATGTTTAATGATGGAAAGGAAAAAATGTGTAAATTATACATTTATAATTATCTCCTAATTTTTTATGCATATAGTGGATTCTAAAATCAAAACAACTTTCAAGGCAAGACAGGCACTACAAAACAAGACAAATCCCTTTTTTCCCACAGTAATTACCAATGATCATTAGAGCAGTGCAGTTAATCAAACATATCACAAGCTTGCAGTTCTGACCTCTACAAGTGTTCTACTGATTGCTGAAAGTTCACTACAAGTGGTGATATTACATTAATGAAATACCCGAGGGCCAGATGTGCAAAGCCTTCTGTGCAGATTTCAGACACAAATAGGATGCATTCTGCTTGAACAACGTCCAAAACTGACATACATGTCTAAATATGCAGTGCAGTTTGCACACTGTTTATGTTTAGCCGCATGCAAAAGTTTGAACACTTTTGGTCGAATCACATTTTTGTTGATATTTCTAAGTGAAAATAAGTTAGCACACCCTCTACAGAGAACACACTTCTGTATATCTTAATGCACAGTTACTGTTTACTTGCTGAAATTAACATATCAGAGGGGAAAAATAAACATAAAAATGTGATTTTCCTACTATATCTAGAGCACGTTTTCTGTTTATCTGAGTTTAACATGTGGGAAAGAAAATAAAACATGAAATATAAAATGTGCCATAACTTTTGCACAGGTTACATTTTAAGTTTTACCTTATTTTCACATCAACAAACCAGCAAAACATCTAATTTGACTGGTGATGTTCAAACTTTGGCAGAGGAAGAATTGTTTTTCTCTCCCTCATACATAGGCATTTCAAGAAGCATTATGCGAAACATAGAAGGGTCGTGCAAAAAATGGGTGGAGGGCTACTAGAATTGTTGCTGATTGTGTTTAATTGACCAAAATTTGGCCAACAAGAGGCTTCCAGTTCTGCATGGAACTTTCTCTGCCTCTTGAAAGCAGGCATAAATTAGCAGTAGTGTTTCAAAATCACATTGTTGAGAGACTTTAAACAATGGCAGCAGATGTCTTGGCTACATGGAAGCACAGGCCTTGAACACATGCCTAAGGAATATTTGCAATAAAATAACTCTATTTCAACTCTCAGACCTCCTCCATTGTTTGCTTAGTAACTCCTATGGCTCCATGTTATGTAAGTTCTACTAAGTGACTTTCAGATGCATTACGATTGCATATTGCAGCCACATCAGGGCGCATTGTGTGCTGTGCCTGCACACATATGTACATTTGGAGGTTTTGAGACCCAAAAAGTCCAAAGATCTGAGACCAGGACTATGTTTCTATAGTTAGAGGGTTGTCCATATTTACAAGTACACTCTACAAAATACAGATTTGGAGCAATGCTGTACCAGAACCATCTTTCACTAGGTGGTTCTTTAAGGAACCGTTTTTGTCAATGAGATGCAAATGTGAAGAACTTTTTTGAAGTTTAAAATTTAAAGTAAATCCACAAAATGTAAGTGTCTTACAAATGTAAGAACCTCTCTTAGTCACCTTCACTGTTAACATGGATGCAAAATACAACGTTTTCTTATTCATTATTGCAATATAGGTTTTGAGGGCAACACCAGAAGATCCAGCTCTGCTTGGTGAAAAGTCACTCCAGCCTATAAATCCACCATCTTACCAACAAAACAAGCCAACTAAACTGGAACACAGTTATTGAGCTTCCGATATATTTGCTAGACTGATTTTAAATGCATGTTGCATAGACTTCCTCTGGTTTTTGATTTATTTTTTAGGAATGCGATCACATGTTTGCCCTTGGGAACAATATGCTCAGCAGAATGCCCAATATCTGAACTCTTCTTCAATCAAAAAGAACCCAATATCTAATTTTTCTGAGTAATGTTTCCTATTGATTTTCCTATGTTGCACAGAGGAGCCCTGAATCTTGCAAATAAAACTCCAGAGCTCTTATATTTTTTAGATATGTCATGATATTTGCTCACAAAAGTGCCACTAAATGCATAGAAATAAGAAAAAAATGAGGGACAATGGTATCAAGATTTGAAGTCCGTCCTAATGCTTATCTGTGTTTTGTGTATTTGGAAAAGTTGTTGATGTAGTGTTATATTAAAAAAAGCTCTCAGTAAACCATATAATAAAGAACAGCTTTTTTACTTACACATATAAATCTTTAGTTGAAGAAAAAGAACGATAAGTTTAATGAAATTTTTCTATGTCACAACCTCCATTTTATCAAAGATTACGCTTTGCTCTGAAATGCTATTACAATATGATCAAATAGCCACTATGAATAAAAGGTCCACATTCAAATTAACCTCAGCAGAGGACAACACCTCAGGCAAAACTGGGGGATTTAAGCAGATGATTGTAGAATACTGATAAAATATTTCAAATGTGTTCACGTTCAACAGCAGCACTGGAGGACACAGCCTTCTCTGAGATTCAGAAATGGCACTCTTTATGCACCTGGATTGGAGGCTTTTCCAGAATGGCATAGCTTTCCATGAGCTTTTTAATGTTCACACTGAATATAGTGGATATTTGTAGTGAAGTGAAGTTTCGTTGTCCTTTATTGATTTTAATTCGTCCATTACTCAACTTTGCATCCACAATTACTAATACACTTCTAACAACAAAAGTGGAAGAACCATTTTTGGTTCCCTAAAGAATCTTTCAATGGGTGGTGCTTTAAAAACAGTTTGAGACGTATGAGTGTGAAGAAGTTTTTTCCAGAACTATGCATCCAAGCTAAGAACCTTTTAGGACCCTTTAAGCATAACAGTGTAGAGCTGCATAATATATTGTTGATTGTGGCCTTTGCAACTGTAATATGCAAATGAAGCCTCTAACAAATCACAGATGCTTCACTGTGTTGTGGGAATCCTAACCAATCACAGACTGTCCAGTTCAGTCTCTGAGGGTGTTTGGATAAAGCAAAGCACAAATAAAAACATTTATCTTGAAAATGGCAACTTTTCAGAAGAAAAGGCGAAACATTCTGAATTTTTAATGTCATCTAAGTTAGTCTGTAAAAATTTGGCCACCCCAGTCAAATAACATTTTTATTGATTTTCTAAGTGAAAATAAAGTCATCTACACTGAACAATGGAACATTTTCTTTTGCAAATTTTAGTGTACAATTTCTATTTAGTTTCGGAGTTTAACATATTGGAAAAAAAATAAAATGTAAGTCTTTCATAACTTTTGCACAGGTTATGTTTTACTTTATTTTATTTATTTTTTCCAAATAGGTTAAATTTAGCAAATAAATAGTAACGGTTCATTAAAATACACAGAAGTGTGTTCTCTGTAGAGCATATGTTTTATTTTCACTTAGAAAATCAATAAAATGTTATGTGCAGGGTGCCAACTGAACACATTTTTCATGTGACATACCATAATCACAGCATCTAGCAATATATTCAAAATATGAATTTTCATCCTAGTTTTACTAGTTTCTCTCTCTCTCTGTGTCTCTCTCCCTGTCTCTCTCTCTGTCTGTCTGTCTGTCTGTCTGTCTGTCTCTCTCTCTCTCTCTCTCTCTCTCTCTCTCCATCTGTAGGCGTACCAGAGAAACCAGAGATTAACGGTTTCTCTAAGCCAGCCATGGAAGGCGACCAGATCACCCTGACGTGTGTGACCTCAGGCAGCAAGCCTGCAGCCGACATCCGGTGGTTCAGGAATGAGAAGGAGATCAAAGGTAGATCCATTTAATAATGAATGAAGTGGCATGAAATAGTGCATTTAAAAACTGAGATTTTGTTACATTTACAGTAATTCTCATATTGACATATGATGCTAATAGAGTCAAATGTCAGTAAATTCCATTTCCTAAGGAAGACTGGCATCTCTGAGCTCAGATTTCATTCACACATCAGTTACTATTTAATTTGTTTGTATTTACTTCTTAATTTGCTGTAAGGTCAGGTACTGCTACCTTTATAAATAACCTTTTAGTGGACGGTTCTTTAAAGATATGAATTTGTAAATGAGATGAGAGTGTAAAGAGTTGTTTCCACATAATGTATAAAGCTATTTTTCCCTATAACTGTACATTTAAGTCAAGAACCATTTACATTTATGCATTTGGCATTAATGTAAATGGATGGAATTGTGCTACAGAGGTAGGTGAATGTAGCATTAGGAGTCTTGGTATATTGTGGTGTGTTTGCTCAGAGTGGGAAATTTAACCCTTGCCTGCCACATGGAGGGTGACAGTATTACCTACTGCACTATACCAACCATTTAGGAACCATTTAGTTTTAAGAGTCATTGCAGTACTATAAAGTAGAAAGAATATCTTTCTATTATTTGTTTTATGTGACCTTATTACAGATCTGTGGCAGTTAAGTGGTAAAAACTAACTTCTTGATAGTGATTTGGCCTCCTGAAACTGTGATTTTGCCTTACATTAAAGACGCAGATTCTTTAAAAGGCCCATTTCATAAAAAAAAAACAAAAAAACAAATTTCCCTCCTTTTTTGAAATAATATAATAATGTAATATGTGAACAAATAAGCAAAATTTTGCAAATATGTAAAAAAAAATGTAAAAAAAAAACACCCTTAGACATATCACCCATACAGCCTACAGTGGTTTAGCCCGACCTATTCATATTAAAGTTATAAGGACTATTTTATCACTGACTGCTGTTTGAATGAAATGCTCAATACAGGGCAGCCAATCAGAACAGAGCTCATTTACATATATCAGTCTTAAAGGCACATTAACAAAACAGTCTATTTAATTCTATGGGATAAAGACAGGATGGAAAATGGTCTTGTAAAAATGAATTAAGATCATTTTTGGTACATGAAACCACACAAAAAATAAAAAAAAATACAAGACACATGTAAAATATGGGCCCAAACAATTGACATCTTACATGCACTATGTAGATGCACTTTGTAGGTATAGTTGTACCATCATGCACATACAGTTACACCTGAGAACAGTCTCTCCAGATTCAGCTCTTTCACCTGTTACATTATGTGAGCATTTCATGACAAATGGACCAATAGAAATGTTCCGAAATGTATGTTAAAGTTAAGGACACTATTTCTTACCTCTATTACAAAGTCACCATTGCAGAAACACAAGGTTATGTTATGACTGTTATAATATAGCATATGCAGTGCATCTTTCACCCAGTTGTGTTTCCAGTAATGTGGCAAGTGAGAGGCAGAGCACTAACTGGAACATGGCAGCATGTCGAGAAGTCTGCAAGAGCTCAGGTCCAGCTCTGTCTGCTGTGCATTCCAAGCAGGAGACATTGATTGCCTTTGTTTGAGCGCTGTGCAGCACTTCTAAAAATACAGCTGTTCTAATTAGCGATGAGACTGTGTTCTCCGTGCTGGGTGATTATGGTGTCTCTTGCAGACAGAAGCGGCAGGGAGGAGGGCCGTGTGTTGAAGTGGGCTAGGAGATGAAGGCAAACCAAGCTGATTATTCATCTCAAAAGAAAAAGGTCTGGCTCGATGTTTAGGTCCGAAATGCAAAATCAACATTATGCTGATGAAGATATGATAACAGTAGTAGATCATTCTCCTTCATCTTCGCAAGACACGCCCTTCACTAGTTTTAACTGAGTTCTCTTTGAATATTCTTTCAATGCATTTGCAATCATCAGATTCATCCGCTCAGGGAAGGGATCTGAAGTACAACCAATGTTATAAAACGTTCTTCTGCATGTTGCTACAATTTCACATTTCCACCAGAGAGGTCTCCAGATCCCCAGATCTTACATAGCGTAGCTTTAAAATGCAACGCAACTGAGCTGGATTATGTTGTTGTAGCTAATCAACACTAGGCAGGATAAAAATAAATTGGAGTTGGACTACATGACAAGACAAGCTACATCCAGTGTTTCCTAACACTGTGATCTTTCACACACATCGAAGAAAAATACCGTTTAAAATTAATTGAAAAAAAAATGCTGCTGCAATTTTACATTATAATGAATGGGATTTTCCCCAGCGTTCTGTAAAGCATGTGCAACAAGAATCAGTTTATAAAAGAACACATTTCTGGTTAGTGCATTGATAGGTTATTTCTGTTTTGAGTCTGCAAATTATTAACAATCATTGTGCAGTTCAAGGAATAATATTTTACTTACGTGTTTCTAAACAAACATAGCATATTGGTAATAAACAATAAGCAGTACATTCTGAAATTAGGTGCATTTCATCACAAAGTATTTTGTCACTTTGCTTCATGTCTAACACAGTTGACTATGGTAAAATCACTATAGCACATGGTCTCTCATGGCTTATTGCATTATTGCTATTCCTGGGTGATATCCAAAAATAATTAGCAAAATATTTTTTTGTTAAAAAATCTGGATTATTAGATACATTGGCCCTCCTACCAGACCCCCTACACAAACATACCCACACACAGTTCACTGCAGCTTCGACATACTTTCTATGCAATCTTTAGCTTATTAGCATTTACTTACATAACAAAAACATTAACAAAAATCCCTTATTACATAATATAATGTTGAATATTCTGACACATTCTGTGACTGTAAACGTGTACATTCATGAGTTCTTTCTCCTTTGGTTCATGACTGTCTCTTTTCATCAAATGTTGCACACAAAAGCTTGCTAATAGCTCCCCCTTATGGAGAAACTTCAGCCTACTAAACATACACGAGTGAGTGAGTGACTTTCAAAGCCATGTCCATGTCCTTTACATTTAAAAAAAAAGATTTGTTTTTAATCACTATAATGAAAGGGCTCTGGAGCTCAGCTATAGATTCCTGTGGGAAACCTTGATGTATTATATTTTTTCATATTTTTACAAGTCATCCAAACCATCAAGAGATTTAAGCTGCTTAGAATTCCCCCCTACAGCCTTTGGGGAAAATTTACTCTCCTATATTATTAATGTTCATTAAAGTAAAAGGGATTACAACATTGCAAGTATATATTATTTAATATTATTTTATAGTAACCATGTAAACTTGAAATGAGTTCTATCTAGTTCTCTTTACCAACATGACAATTATTGTCTTGCCAATATCTGATTACATCACTCATGCCTAATTATTATGGAACCCGCTTAGATTTTAATGATTGGTTTGTGACACTTTCCAAGAACACCCATTATTATCCTCTCCTGTTCACCAACATAAGCATGAAAGAAAAGAGAGACTGGAACACGAAGTGGATGGATTTTTAAAAAGTCTGATACAAACTTGAAGGTACTTTTTAGAACCCTGGCTAGATCCTCTTAGCTGACATCTGATTAGACATAAAAGACAAACATCTACGCATTTAACTGTAATTAACATTTGATCAAATAACATTTGCCGTCAGGCTGCAGCTTGGCTGAAAAAGTAGAGTGACATCGTAAATATAAGGTTTTAAACAGCTACATTTCATCCAGGGATTGCTGATGCTGTAGATGAGAGCGCTGTGGAAATCAGCTTATTTAGTTAAAATCCTGCTGCAAACTGATGGTCTGATTTTCTCCCTGTATTGACTTAGATTGCTGATAAAAATTTGCCCAATAACAATCGGATTGTTTACTCAGAGCAAAGCAGAATTAGAAACTGTCTAATTAACAGGGATTATTCTGAGACGGTAAATAAGTTTTTGTTGGGGTTAGAGTATGTTTGTAGAGTGAATGTGATGCAGAAGCAGATGTCGGTCATGACAGAAAATATCTGCTAAACGTTTTTCGCCTCTGCTTTGCCTTGCTATTTTCTCCTTTTAATTGGATGCCGAATACATTTTCTCATTCTAACTTCCAAGGAATATCGCCCATGCACATATGCACATAATTATGAATGTATCTAATTAATGCAAAGATGTGGTTTGACATGATCTTCTCTGGTGTTGCTATGCTCTTAGGCAAACTTCTCTCAACCTGACTTAAAGCAAATCTTTACACTTTCCTTTTTTTCATATATGTAATTTGATATATATACATATATATATATATATATATATATATATATATATATATATATATAAGTATATATGCTTAGAATTATACAAACTCAACCTTGAGTGCTTAAATAGTTTTTGCACTTCAGAAAATGGTTCTTGTTCTGTGGGTCTTTATCATTATGTTATTATGGTATAATCTTGGAAACAGGGTTCTAAAGAGTACCAAATGTAGTTTTTTTCTTTTTTGTAACAATAATAGAATAGTTTTTAATGCTCTATAGAATCATTTTTAAAAGGTACACATTCAAATGGTTCTTTGAGTTGTCATGGTTCAATATCTAAATATTACCTTCACTAAAAACTCTTGAAGAACCCATTTTCTAAGGGTGTACAGTTGTCTATACAGGCATTCTTAATTGTACCAACTATTATTATTATTATTATTATTATTATTATTATTACTATTATTATTACTATTATTATTATCATGTATAAACTCCTGGAGAACCTGGTGGAACATTGTTAAAAATGGTTCTATTTAGCACCAAAATGGGTTCTGCTATTGTTACAAGTCATAGGACCTTCTTTTGGGGCATGCCTAAGGCAGGACACTAAAAGCAGAAATGGCCATTTTGGTCCCACCAACAATTTTAAGATTTTTTAATTGCATCCATAGCATGTCTTTTCCTAAAGTGTAATCAAAAAATGTCAAAACTCAACAGAAATATATTTGTATGCGCATGTTTTGTCAGTTTGTGCCCACTCATGTCTAACTGTATTTTCTGAAAGTTAGCAGCTTTTA